GGGCAGTGGCTGATTGGGTCAATTTTCTAAAATTTACCGTAACCAAAGTGTACCATCAACTGTAACCATAAAAGATGACATTCAGACCTACATGAGCTTTCTGTTCAAAAATATTCTAAGAATCCCGTAGAATAAAGTGGATGTATTTCAGACCAGCTGTATGTAACGACAGGTACGGTTGTACCATCTCACAACATCGTCGGTTTACCATTGGTGCCACATTCAAAACGTGATTATCAGAGCATTCTACAGAAAGCCGTCAATCGATACGGTATGTTAATTCATGGCAAAAGGGCTCAGCTGGTAATGAGCTCTTGAATGCTTCTCATTCCCGCTCACTTTACTACCTGTATAAGAAAAGTGAGGGTAATGGGATGCAGCTAGTACTTGCTCAATGGGTGGAGACCAGGCTCGGGTATCTTCCAAGAGTAAGTTCTTCTTTTTTGTTTACAGAATTCGAAGTGGCCAACTTCTCAAATGCACTGACGGACGAAATGTGTGAGCTGTGTGCTCGAGTCGACCGCGCCCTCACAGCACCGGGTAATCCTTTGAGTTACCCTTGCCTCTTATAAGGTTTAGGTAAATAAGCCTATGGCCATGATGGAATCTCGCGAAAGAGACTGCTGTGGCTAAAAAATCTAAAAATGCCCCTCAGGTGGCTCACTCCTGCTTGCTGGCCGCCCTGGTCTTGGTCGAGCTGATGCGATCCGTCTCATCGCCAACATGCATCAGATGGCCCTTTTCACGCCAAAAATCACGCCTAACTATGGGCAGAAACAGTTCGATTTGGAATTGAAAAACGTGGGTAGAATTCAGATTTGAAGGTCCCTCGAAACTTTTATCTTTCGCTGCTTCAGACAATCCAGACCGCGATTTCTAATAGTGAGCATGTCGTGTTTCTCCTCGAGGACTACAAAATTCTTCAGCCAAGTTTTCTCGAATCGATCAACTGCCTGATTTCAAGTGGCGAGGTCCCTGGACTATTTACTCCCCAGGTTGGAATTTTGTGCTTTCAAGGCCAGTATCGTTGCAAAACACAGTGTCCAAGAGTTCATTACCTCTTTCATTTCATGGAACTTATAGCATACCAATGAGAATCAAAAAACCCATGAGAAAGGACTCTCGCAAAGCCAAAAGTTGGAAAATTCCTAAAATGGATACTTTGGAGGTTGAGAGGACCCATGAATTTTTTTTCAGGAAATGGACTCGCTATCGACAGCTCTACGGGACCAGGCTAGTCAAGACGGATTTCAGGGACACATGCAGCAGTACTTTTCCCACAGTTAGTTTTGATTCACCTTTGGTTTTAGTCTCCATTCTGAAAATCATAAAACCCACTCTCCATTCTAAATCATAAAATCATTCATTAAAGCTGCTAAGCTTTAGTTGTGTTTAGAGATTCTCATCTATGTGTATGCCTATTTTGAGAGTTGAGAATTCTGTTTACTCTTTGGCGTACTTTGCTTATTTATTTGCTGCTCCTTCTATTTACTTACTTGCTTAATGGTTATATTTTCTACAAAAATATGTCGAAAGAGTAAGCAAAAAACGGTGTCAACTAATCATCAACTCATAAACTATCTGAGTTGGTGAGCTTTCTACTTTTCCAAGGTTTTTTTTCAGGAGTTCGAACTTTACTTCACGTCGGCCTGGTCCTGGACACTGATAGTGCGGAATTCGAACTTCGAATAGCCGCTAATCCGGCGATTTTCAAACAATCCAATGTGATATGGCAGGAGAGCTGGAGTAGAACAGCTCAGGCACAGGTATCTATGTCGTTCAGGGCAAAGTTGTATTGAGGCCACTGAGAGATAGGGGACTTATTGGTTAATGGCTTAACCGGATTCAGGAAACGAATGAAACCCTCAGTCTTGATCTTTCTCCCAAATGCAGGTTGGAAATTAGTATGCCGCCTGTAAAGCATTCGGGACATATCATTTTTACTGAGACTATCTGAAAGGTGGAATTTTGAACTGACCTTTTTTTCAGATGCCACAATTAATGCTCCAAAAGAAAGGCATGGACGTGAACGAAGACACCTGCCAGTCCTTCAGGTATTTGACTTCTGAAAACTTCTTTATATCGTTTTCTAAAAGCAGTTTTCTCTAACAAGTATTCTGGTGAATTTCTTAATTTCCATTGTCAAATTTCCTTCGCATTATTCTTTTTCTTCATCAGCTCTTTACCGTTTATACTTTGCAGATTTGCATTGGCACGACGCCATAATCGATAATCGAATTTCAGTTATCTGGAAACCGTTCTTCCCATTGCCGTACAATCGCCGTACAAATTTCAGCGTTGTATCGAGAATTATGCTGCAATATACGAGAAAAAGAAAGTTGTGGTAGCAGGTCGCTTGGAGAGACTTAAAGTAAGGGCTTAAAGTCAGGGTGTGTTTGATAGAGACAGTGTTCGAATGTCCATTCAAAGGAGTTGGTGGTCCGAAATAAAGTCAATGCATGTCCTTTTACTGAAATCTTTAAGAAATTCTTGAGATTTCATTTTGACTGTTATGATATGAAAGTAGGGATGTAGGTCCTTTCCAACCAGCTCATACTTTAATCACGTACTTTCGTACTACTAATCAAAAGACAATTCAAAGGCTGGAGTACACAAGTTGACGGAAGCTCGAGAACAGGTGGCAATAATGCAAAAGAAAGCTGCCAAGAAGAGTAAACTACTGGCTGAAAAACAGGCCGCTGCCGACGAAGCGTTGAAGGATATCAGTAAAAGCATGACGGTACGTTACTCAATTACGGATGGGTTTCCTCAGTGGATTCCTTTGTCGGTTTAATACTCTCCCTGGTGCGTAGGCTCCTTTAACTGAGTAGACCGCTATGAAAGCTCACGGTGTGACAGCTACCTTTTCTTACCATCCACTCGTCCTTTTCAGGGGGCAGAGGACCAGAAAACGTCTATGCAGCAGTTGAGAGCGGCTACGGAAGAAGAAAATGTAAAGATCGCTGAGAAGAAGAGACACATTGAAGAGCAGCTCAAAGACGTAGAACCCTTACTCAAGGCCAGTTTTCTCAACTCTTCAGATTCCTCTACCACAGATGGAAATCTCATAAGAGATTTCTCATAGGGAGATCTCATACAGTCAAGACTCAAACTCAACCGTTCGAACCCGACAAGTTTCCCAAATGCTCCTCACAGACGATCTTTCAGGAAGCTAGATCCGCAGTCGGCTCTATTAAGCCCGAATCGCTGTCGGAAATTCGCAGTCTACGAGCCCCTCCTGAAGCAATTCGTGATATTCTACAGGCTGTGTTGCTCTTCATGGGTATATTGGATACGTCATGGGAGGCAATGAGAAAGTATGTTGACAAAATCTCATAGAAATTGTTGGTTATAATGATTTTGTAAAAGAAACCGTCTGGAATCAACTTTAAAAGAAGTTTTCTGAAATTTTTGAAACTTTTCAAAATTGAAATCAGTAAAAAATCATGAAATGTGGGTGAAGAGTGAAGGCATGGTAGTTGTCAGCAGCCTCAACCGTATGTGTAGGACATTTACTCTTCGCCCATATCTTTATCCCTAGATATGCCTCCCGGTAATAATACATTATGATAAAAGGTAGATCAGCGAATGCCGAATTCTCACTCCTTTTTCATAATATTTGTGCTCTCTCTTCGAGAAAACCGGAGAAGGCCATCGATTCCAACTTCATTTAGGTTCTTGTCAAAAAGCAGCGTAAAAGACGAAATAATCAACTTTGACGCTCACCGTATCACAAGGGACGTCCACAAAAAAGTCACTGCCTTGGTGAAAAGCAAAGAAGCATCGTTCGATCCCAAGGTCAGACTTTCTGAAATACGCTAATTACTTTCAAGCAATAAAGAAGAAATTCAGTCTGAACAGAGTAATTTCAGAATGCCAAACGAGCTTCCGTAGCCGCAGCACCATTGGCTGCTTGGGTGACTGCAAATCTACAGTACTCTGAGATACTTGAGAAGATATCACCACTTGAACAAGAGAAGAATCAGCTCGTCAGGTTAACATTTGGATCAATTCGATTTTATCGTGTTACTTTCATTTTTACTTTTACATTCTACAGTATATGCAGTGGCGGAATGGCTAGCGATGCCGTATAGCCGCACTCAAGTGCTTCGAGAGATCGAAACCGCTCAAACCAATCTCCCGTATACCTATAGGATTCTTCAACTGAGGGCTAAATGGTATCTACATCATTTACGGGTCCCAAGTCCACAACGTTGGATACTCAGCCCTAAAACAAATCCGTTACTAAGTAGTTCACCAGACAAACTAGAAGTTCGAGCGGTTCAGATCTCTACACAGCAATGCCTCCCATTAATAACTTTTCCCTTTTCTTCCCTTGGCCCATAGGTTCTGCCTTTCAGTTCTACTGGTTTCTACTGGACGAGTTTGTCAATTTTGTTTCGCCAAACAATTGTTGATTTTTTTAGTAATTTATCGAAAGCAGAGAAACAAATCGAAAAACTCTCAAAAGGACTGCTCTCAGTCGACGAAAAAGTAGCTGCTTTGAAAGAAAAATTCGAAGGTCTCATGAAAGAGGCTACACAAATCAAAATCGATTTGGAAAAAGAGCAGGTGCGCCCAGTTGATGTTCCGTATGTTTCCCGAAAGTTTAAACAGACTGTATTCTTTGCAGAACACTATTAAAGTGGCTGGCACGTTGGTCGATCGGTTGGCCGGTGAATTCTCACGATGGCAGGCACAAATGCAGTCATTATCACAAGAAATGGATAATGTAGGTGTTGAAAACTCAAAAACTATTTTCTGGTAAACTTTCTTGTACAGAGCTGTAGTAAGGCTGCATGTAATGAATCGCTTGAAAGTTTTTNAAAAATTACAAATTGAAATTACTCTCAGTTCGATTGTAAAGAGGTATGACGTCATGCAGAACTACGAGACTTTTCAGGTGGAACGATGTGCCATCATCACAGCTGCATTTGTCACATACCTTGGGGGATGTTCCGAGAAAACTCGGACGGAAGTTTTGAAATCGTTCCAGCAAAACAGTAGCCTACCTGATTTTAGCCCCGTCACATTCTGCGCCATGGAAACGGAGCAGGTGAGTGAAGGTGGGCCAGATCATGGGCAATCCTCGAGATTGAGCTAAATTAAAGGGTAGACGGTAGGCATGCAAGTTCACCGTACATTAGTAAATGCCATTTCCTGTACTGCCCCAAACACAACTTTCCAGTTGAACTGGAAGAATCATGGCTTACCTGGCGACTCCCTCTCGATAGAGAACACTGTGGTGATGTTCAATAGCACACAGACTCCACTGGTTATTGATCCAACTGGACGAGTTGCTGCCTTCTTGCATTCGTTCATTGATAAGTCTGAATTGCTCAGAGCTGCTCAGAACGATCTATTCACTCAGGTAACCTGTAGTTTGCGCGTGCGTTCCGTCAGAGTATTTTCTTGAGGGCTCTTGCGTCCTTCTACAAATTTTATATTTGTTTTTAATTATTCTTTCAGATAGAGTTTGGAATTCGATTTGGAAAAACAATCATTGTCGATGACGTTGCTGAAATCGATGCTGCCTTTGTACCACTTTTCCGAAAGGAACTATCATCACAAGGGCCTCGACAGGTCTGATTTCATACTAATATGGTGGGATAGTAGAGGGTATGTAAGCATAATTCGAACGTTAATGGAGTAGGTTGGGCCGCTTCCAATCCCTGTGGGTTCGTACAGCACCTGAACGGTAAGTGTAGCGTACCGAAGTCACTGATCCAGAAACTGATCATATCTGTTCCCTCCCGCCTTCAGCTCTCCATCTTTGCGATCCTAAAACGCGTAGTTCTTTTAGCAACTTCAACAATCTGCGAGTTTTTTGAGTTTTTTCTCGACCCCTTTTATTTGTGTCATAGAAAGTTTTCGTGTTGTCAAGCGAAGTTTTGACCACTCGCCCTCCATTTTTCCGAGCCTTCATCGACTGCTCAAGTTTACTGCTTTCAAACTAACTTGGTTACAGCTAAACATGAAGTTTTGCAAACTTATTTTGTCTAAGAGTCTGTTTTGGAGTTCTCTCGAAATTCACCTCATTAATATTCAATTCTAGAGCGCAACCGACCGATTAGAAAGGGCGCTTAGACTTCCTACTTCTTACGGGAATCATTGTTAAGACCCATCATCCATTTTAATCGGCAAGCTGTTGGCAAAACTTTGGCCACGGACGGGACTCGAACAGTGCTTGTGCTCTCCGGCCAACGTACTCTTTATCCCTTACACTACTGCGGCAAAATAACAACGGTTAGCAACAATATCACGTCAAAACTGTTCAAAAGCTTTGGAGATTCCGGATCTAACCAAATTTCTGGCGATTCTTGAAGTTATGAAGTGATTGGTTCATCTGCTATCCTATTCTCAATTCAGGTGATATCATTTGCTGATAAGCAAATCGACTACAATCCGGAATTCAAGCTCTTCCTTTGCACGAAAAATCAACATATCGTCATTCCTAGCAGTATTCGTAATGTTCTGTCTGAAGTGAATTTCACAACAACAAAAAGTGGACTCACCTCTCAGGTACATTGAGACAAAGATACAAATTGTTTTTTTTCTATTTTCTATTGTATAATAGGTGATTGAATCCATTTTCAGCTGCTCGGCCTTGCGATTCAAATTGAAAAACCCGAGCTAGAAGAGCGATCAAGTGCCTTGGCCAGAGATGCGGAGAGTAAAAAAATGGAATTGGAAAAATTGGAACAACTGTTACTCCAGGTTTTCAGCTTTTTTCTTGTCTGGTAAAATGGTAAAAAAGTCCTTTCACAATCGAGTTGTAGGAGCTGATACCTTTTTTTCCAAAAATATCGAAAAAACAAGTTAAAAAGAGGGGTAATTGGGACAAGTTACCTTTCTACCCAGCCCACCCTGTGCTCTACCCAATCAGAATGTATAATATCCTCTTTTTTCCTGTTTATTGCCCAAGTTTGACCTGTCTCTGTGATTTCTCACGGTTTTTATGGTCCCGTCGAAACAGCAAAAACCATTAGACGTGCATTTCTTGCGTGTGGACAAACGGCAAATCCGAACACCTTACTTCACCAAAATTTACGGTGAGGGGTGATTTGATCAGTGTCGAGTAACCTTTCCAAGTTGCGCCATGCGTTCACTTTCCATCCGGGATAGTAGCATTTTAATGTCTACTATGGTGATAAACCGTGAAGCGACTTCGCAATTGAGTCAGCTTTCAATCTCGAAGACGGTCATATTGCCGTGCTCAACACTTAAGAAGGATCGGTCGCCTTATCGGCTTCTGTCCACCAAGTTTCGGTACGGCGCCTCTTAGCATATGCATCTCCCTCTCTCCCCGTGATATTACCAGAAACGGGGCTTTCTGTAACTACAGTGAGACTGGTAGCTTTCTGTGGCCAACCAAGCGATTTCTCTTCTTTCAGCAACTTGCATCTTCTGAAGAAAATCTGCTCGACAACACGGTTTTGCTCGACTCATTGAATAAATCAAAAGAGAATGCTGAAACAATCAGCAAGAGTATTCAAGAAAGCGAGAAACTTCACAAAGAACTCAACGAAGTAAGTTTTTGCGACGTTCCACTGTTATTTGATTCCTTTTTTGTATTTTTCTGCTTCGGCTGAGGTAGCGCAATGATATAGGCTGGGCCTACTGGGCTGTATCTTCGGTCATTGCCTGCCTATCTAACACTTCTACTGTTTATCGAGTCTTACGCTATTTGAAACGTAGTGACCTCCGACACAGTTAGTTTTTGCTTTTTTCAGCAACGAAATGCATATCTTTCGTTAGCAGAATTCGCCAGCTCGCTATACTTTGTCTTTTCTGATCTTCACCTACATAATCATATGTACAATTTCAATGTAAACACTATCATCAGCATCTTCCGAAAAGTCGTCGCCGACTGTCAGGTGAGAGGATCCCCAGAAATTGTTGCTCCTAAATCTAAAATTCTTCGGAAACAACCTGCTATTTATCAGTCATATTTCACTAACGGTCGAAAATTCGGGCGTAAAAGGTTGATTTGGAGGAAAACAGGGAAAATTCATCTTTTGGTTCAAATTCCCCTCCAGTACTTCTGTATTTCACGACTGCATAAAACAGCAGTAGTAGTAGTCGAAGAGGAGGATGTGCAGCTGATAGTGGCACCAGTCTAGGTCTACTATGCCGCTGCGGGCAGTGCCGAAGAGCGGCCTGGTGAAGGTTTTGAAGTGGGTAAATGGGGCTGTAATTTTTTGGCCGGAGGCAACTCTTTTGAGTGAATTTCCAGTGGGTTTTGCTCATAACCAAATGGTTTTTAAGTGGGCGTTTCCTATAGGATGACGGAGTTCTTTGAATTTCTTTCTTCAGTAGTAGAAACAAGGCAGACTGTATACTACTCTGTAAAGAGTTCTGATCAGCTTATGGGGTACCACTTACTTTCAAGTGGCGTCACTTATGTATTTAATAATTCGAATAGAGACACATGCTCAAACCTTCACAGGGATAATTCT